AGGTATCTCTAGTTAACCACAGAAAACCGGAAGTGTAGATGTGGCTCAGTGGTAGAACACTGGTCTTAAAGCTCAGGGATTTTGTGCAAGCCCTGAGTTCAAGCCCCATGACCAAATAAGGAAAAAAAGAACCAAAAAATTTGTTTTTATAAAGTCTGTATACCACAGCTACTGAGGAAAGCTGCAGTAGGTGTTCTTTAACTCTTTTTTTTTTCTTATGTGGTGCTGAGGAATCGAACCCAGGGCCTCAGGCATGCAAGGCAAGTGCTCTACCACTGAGCCACCTTCCCAGCCCTAGGTGTTCTTATTTGGTTAATTTATGGTGTTTTTGAAACATGACCTCTGGGTTGCCCACACTGGCCTCACACTTGTGATTCTCCTGTCTCCACCTTCCGAATAACTGGGATTACAGGTGCATATAGTGAGCATGGCTTGGGCGTTCCTGTTTAAGTCAGATATGAAGAAGGCTTTTCCAATCAGAGAGTGAAATGTTGTAGGTGTGGGTTGGTCTGATCCTCGAGTTCGTATCTTCTGTCTTTATGGTGCTTGCCTTATCCCGACAGCCCTACGGTGAGATGAGCTGGGAAGAGAAGGGCTGGAGTTCACAGGGTATGAGGCGTCTATACAAGCCACAGGGCCTCGCATGAGGGCATTTTACACTTATTTATTGGGGTTTTGGTTTTTATTTTTGCTTTTTTTTTGAAACTCTCACTTTAAATGAGGCAAGGGCTGCATCGTTCACCTCCAGGTAATGGACTCTATTACTGGGACCATTTCTCTGTTGAAGTCAGAGGGTCCTCACAAAAGGACAGTATGATTGTTCATTTATTTACTGTTCATCGTTGAAATGTATTGCTAGGCTTTTAATACACCCTGTCTGAGCCCTATTACTCAACTGAAATGGTATTTTTGCTTTTGCTGTGTTCGGGGGGGGGGGGGGGTGATAGAAATGAGCTTCAGAGTAGATAACTTGAGAGCTGTAGAACTAGAAAACAGAGGTACTGATAAACAGATGCGATTCTTTTTCCTGCTGTTCTGGGTGGACAGAGCCTAGTTACAGACCGTGCCACCAGCATAGCTGGGATTACAGGTGGAAGCCCCATGTCTGCCCCCCAAGTCTTTTTATTTGATTTTTGTTGATAAAAATTCCAAATATTCTATGGGGTACAGTGATTTTTATATACATATATATTCAGTCAAATCTAGATAGCTGGCATATCCATCACCTCAAATATTTATAATTTCTGTGTTCTGGATATACTGAGAACGTTCTCTGTGAGCTTTTTTGTAATGGACATTTAATTGTTATGAACCATAGTCTTCCTACATACTTTTAAGCTTCCATGTAGAAGTGAGAACATGAGGAATTTGTCCCTCTGTACAATATTCCTAAGTAATGCAGATCTTCCAGATACTGACCATTTCATTTTAATAACAATAACACATTTGTTTGTATTGCCATCAATCTAACAAGAAAGTCTTTAATTCCTGGGAAGCTATGTAGTTCAAAAATCTGAGTTTTAAGCCGGGTGCTGGTGGCTCACGCCTGTAATCCTAGCTACTCAGGAGGCTGAGATCTGAGGATTGTGGTTCAAAGCCAGCTAGAGCAGAAAAAGCTGGAAGTGGCGCTGTGGTTCAAGTGGTGGAGCGCTAGCCTTGAACAAAGAGAAGCTCAAGAACAATGTCCAGTCCCAGAGTTTAAGCCCCAGGACTGGACACAAAGAAAAAAAAATCTGAGTTTTGCCTGATAGCTCAAGTTTTTGTGGCAACAAATGTCCTTGAAGTGACCCCCCCTCCCCACTTTCATTCATGTTTAAGAAAATAAGTTTGTCCATTGATTCTTTCAAGTGAAAAATGGCAGTTGTAGGGAAAAAAACAGCAGCTTCTAAGTTGGCATCTGAGTCTCACAGGTGTTTTTCCTTGCGTTAACCATCATACTTGCATATGTAACATAAGTCCTTTCAGCAGACTCCTATTTTGTCTCTCAGAATATTAATGGTTTCAGATGGTGCAATGCAGCCAGCCTCCAAATTGGACTTCAGTTACCATTGTCACAGTAATTTAAATGACTGTGGGAACAAACAGGATTCAAACCCATGGATTCAGAGTCCAACAGTCCATTATTGAAGTCCTTTAATAGAGTAGTCAATGTTTTATAATAATTCCTTTTGGAATTTCAAGAATCCGAAACTGAATACTCACGAGCTGTATGCATCTCTTGAAGCCTAGAAACAGATGTAAGATCACTATTAATACTTTATATAAACACACTGTAGAATAGAGTTAGCAGGATTTACATGAGGAAAACCTTTTGTTAGCTATTCTCCTGATAACCTATGCTTTCTACCACTAACTCATTGGTTCAGGACCACTGAAGGCAATTTTGTACCAGGCTTTCTCCTTTAGCACAGTCCCGGGGCAGAAGGGACGTGTTTAGGAAGACAAAAATTGAGTCTTCATGTTAATCTGAGGTCTATATTTGTAATAGTAAAATGCAGCAACTAGACAAAAGTGGATTTTTCCATTCATTTCCAAAAGAAAAATATTTACTATCTGATACCTGAGTAGTTGAGAAGGAGCGTATTTTTCCCCCCTGCGGTAATGACTGTGGAACTTTCAGTAGACTCATGAATACCGGACATGCCAACTGTCATGAAAATGAAGTAAATCCTATTTTTCCCGCCAGTGTAAGTTCTAAAGTCAAACGTGTGGGTTAGCACACATTGTGGTACCAAATTATATGTCTCTGTCCTGATGTGGTCTGAGTTGTTGAGCACAGATGTGAGATCAGGTGGAATAAAGTGACTATTATCCTTCATACTCACCTCTGACTCTTAATTTCCTTATTTGTTTTTCATAAAAAGAGGATGTTGTGAGTGTTTTTAACTTGTAACTAAAGAAATCCTCCAAATGCTTTCGGCAAATGACTTTCCTGGCAGCTCTGCGCTGTCAGCCTTGGCACCTTCATGTACCCTTTGTTCCTCAAACCAGTCTGGCCTCAGTGGCTTCCAAGATCTCTCTCCCATTAAAAGTAATGTGTTTTCCTGCGCTTACGGTCCCCCCTAGGTTGACCACCATGTTTCTCTAGATTCAAAAGCTGAGTGAAAGCAGCCAGCAAGCAGCTGGTGCGTAACTGTAATCACTAGAGTGTAGGGAAGTGCTTTCTGCTTTGGTATTGGCCTGTTCCTGCAGCCTCAAAGGTCTGCTGGGGCCTGGCAATTTCTGGTCTACTGCCAGGTGAGACAGATCTTTCTGGAAAGTAGCAATAGTTGCAGCATCTATTAACCAGGCTTTCCAGTGTCTGTGCAGAAGCAAGCTCTGTGTTCATTCCACCTCGTTAGGCATTTGCACTTGTTTGGCAGAACTTGCCTTTGGTATCTAGCCACTAACCACTGTGCCTAACTTGGCAGAGAGCGGCATCATCCTGGCAGCCAGGGTACCAGGCTCACCCTTCTCTGGTTTCCCCAAACCAGGCAGGAGACCAGGATGGATTAGCTGAGAAGACAATCAGCTATTTTATATTGCTTGTTCACATTTCCAGGATACAATCCTGTTCTGAGAATGTCTCCTGTTAATCTTGATACATGGTAATGCCTAAGGTAGATGAAAATCCATTTGCTTCAGACACAAAGAAGAGAATGCTTGCTTTCTCCCTTTCCCCTGGCAACTATCTTTTGATAAGTACTTGTACTATTCTTTTCTTGTACATCTAAAAAGCATGCATAAGTTTTAGTGCATAAACATTTATTGTATTTGTTTTAAGAGCTCATCATTCTTTGTGGCTTTTTCCCCCCTTGATGGTACAAAGTCCTGAACTCAAGACTTTATAATTATGATATAAGTACACTACCACTTGATTCATGCCCCCAGCCTTCTTTGATTTAGTGTACTTTTCAAATAAGGTCTCCATTTTGTTTTCGTTGCTATTGCTGGTTCTAGGCTTGAATTCAGAGCCTACGAGCCATCCCTGAGCTTTTGTGTTTAAGACTTGTGCTCTGCACTTGAGCCACAGCATCACCATTGGCTTTTTGGTGGTTAACTGGAGCTAAGAGTCTCATGGGGTTTCTTGCCCAGGCTGGCCTTGAACTGTGATCCTCATATCTCTGTCTCCTGAGTAGCTGAGATTACAGGCATGAGCCACCAACACCCAGCTTAATGGGGCCATTTTAAACAGCAAAATCATGAATAAGAAGCATAGAAGGAGGGAAACGTGAACTTAAATAATCTACAGAAAGGGCAGGTATTTTCTGTGTGAAAGCAGAAAGGAGAGGTTATCTTACACAGGTGCATCTTGCAACTCGTTTCTATCCATATATGTGGACACAGAGGCCTGGAATTAATAAATATCTACTAATAAAATAAATATTTCCTGTCAAGTTATATCAAAAATAAAATTTTCCAATGGCTTTTAGAAATATTAAGAGCAAGAACCACGGAACACTACGGCCTTCCATCCCTTTAGTCTTGTTATTATTGTGTATATCCCCATAATTCATCTTCCTTTTCTCCATCCTCCCTTTCTTTCTCTACTGTATCTCTCACTTCCTTTTACAGATGCCTTCCTGCTAAAATGGGCTTGGAAAGGAAGCTGAAGTCACACCAAGATACGCTCATAGAGTTGTTGCAGTCAGAGTAGCAGCAAGGGAACACAGGAGGATCGTTGCACTTTGGGAATATTTATTAGACTCCGTGCAAGGAAAACGGGCTGTGCTGATTCCCAGAGCTCCATTTGAATTTCAAAGGTGCTGATAACTGTGTCCACGGGATGGAATCAGACTCTCAGGCCCCAAGTGTCTCCCCGTCCCTGAGTAGCAGCTGCATTGAATCTGTTTCATTTCCTGATAACTGGCTTTGACTTTTTTTTTTTAACCTGACATTTATTTATTGTCTCTCCCTTCTAAAAAACTTAATAAATTCTCTTCAGGTAGCATATAAACAAAAGCACACTTTACCTGTTCTTCCTTCAGTCTTGGTCTTTTTTTTTTTCTTCTCTTTTTCTTAAATGTCTCACAGAACAGCCCAATATACCCTCAGAAAAACCAGAAGGTCACAGAATGTCAGTTCTGTGAACTGTCTCTTCTTCTCGTGTGAATCCATAAACTGTCACCAGCTGACAGAAAGGAGCTCAATGAGAAGACCAGTCTTGGTCTTAAAGAAAGGGAACACCAAGTCCAGTAGACCATGCCATGGAGTCATGTGTTTGGAATACTGCAGGGGAAAATGATTTTGTTTTTAGCATCAACTTTCTCTCTCTCTCTCTCTCTCTCTCTCTCTCTCTCATATACACACACACACACACACACACTTACAGGCATGATCCTGAGGTCTCACTGTAGGGAGGAATCTAGTATAACTAGGAACACTCACTACCACCAGCAGCAGCTGACTGTGTGCAAGTCGTTTACAAGACCCCTGTGGCTTTTGTGATATGGATAATCTCATAGATAAGGTAGGAATCATTTTGGAGGTCAATACAGGGCAATTTTTGTTTTTCTTTACACTATGACAGTAACCCTGGTAAATTCCTATGTTCCCCAGAATAAAGATTTGACAGATAGACATCGGTTTCAGAAAGTGATTCATTTGGTATCCAGGGGATTCTATCAGATGACTTCTGTGTGGGCTTGAGTTTTAAAGACTGGAATGAAACACTGTGTATGACAGTGTTTGAGGAATCATATCGTAGGGGAAGCATGGATGTTCTCTGCTGTATTATAGGTAGTGAGGGGCCTGTGGAGCAGCTCCTTTTCTTTTATGAAGGCTTTTGGGTAAGAGATTCCCATGCAGGGCAGTGCTGTGATGCTCATCCTGGGCATTGAGAGGAAGCACTTGGACAGCAGGGCAGGCACTGAGGCCTCAGTTAGATGCAATGCAGTAGAAACAATTTCCTTCAGTTACTACAAAATAATGCAGCCTTGGAACTATTCAAAGGAATTTCAGAGTCAAGCTCTTGACATACCTCATCCAAGCCCCTGGCAGCTACTTCAGGATATCTCTGGGATTTCTAAAGCTTCTGCAAAAGGTATCATTTTTTTTTCAGCCACACAAAGTGTCTTTATTTTTAAAATGATAATCATTTCAATGTATTTACTCAGTCATATCTGGAACATAATCCTACAACTCTGAAGAGCTGGCTTGCCTGTTTGGATTTGTAAACTACCAAGAATTGGCACTAGTCCTTGGAAAAGATTCTCCAACAGAGCTCTTACATCCTTGTTTGTGATCCTCTTTCCTGCCTAAGCACATTTATCTCTCTAAGCTACTCCAGCCCTCTAAAACTGTACTTTCTTTGGCAGCTCTGTCAGTACAACTATCTGGAAGGGCTATATAATTAGAACAGGCAGCTAAAATCATGATAAGAAAAAGATGGCAGAAATGAAGTTCAGAACTTTCTTAAACAGAATTTAGAAATCTGTTATCCCCCATTTTAAAACTCATATTTGGTAGAAGTAGCGATATTTTTTTGAAATGTGCTCTTGTTTCTTAGAATAGATGCATTTCCAACAAAGCAAACGTTAGTATGGAAGTTTGTTCTAATTTTGTTCACAAGGTGGCACTCTGGTTCAAGAGAAAGTCTTTGTGTAGTACCCATGGTTTGTCAGATCTCAGTTGCATGCTGTTTCTACCTTGTACACAGTAGATTATTTTGCCTTTTCCTTACTCCTTTTATTTGGGGGGAGGGGGAGGAGGTAATTATCTCCACCTGTTTATGGACTAATGTATAGACTTGTTAGAAATTCAGGGACTCCAAGGAGAGAATGCAACAAACAGATGTGATAATGTTCCAAGATGACAATTAACAGTAGCTCATTTGTAATGTTCACATCTCTTAAAGTCCTAGAGTTCCCTACCAGATGTTCGGTGAACTAGAAGGTTTTCCAGAACTCTCTGCCTTCACGGTCTCAGTTCTTAATGAGTAGGAACTTCCTTCAACTCAATTCTGGTCACTCGTTAGCTTCAGCAAGATTTGATTTTTCTGGAAAGGTAGAATAAAGCAAAGATAGAAGTAAAGAAGTAGAGACTACTTTAACGATTTCTTGAATTACCATATTTTCTCCTCCATAATATTTGGTAAAACATCTCCCATGCATTGATTATGTTATATATTAAAAGAACTTCTTGTTTCCTAATTATCATCCACAAGATAAACTGGCACACATAGTTAATATATGCTTATTAGCTCCCAAAGTTGACTGCTGTGTGAATTAATAAATGCTAGTTGTTGATGCATCATGTAGTCTTTTCCACATTTGTAATAGAGATTTTACAGTTGAGAAGAGACTTGAGGAAATGATTCAGTACCTCTCCTCAGTTCACTATCGGGACATTAACATCAATACTGCATAGCTTATTTTGATTACTTCTTCAAATTTTCTGTTGGGAAATTATCCACGGAGTCCAACCTAAAAGCCACCATACTTCTACTGTTAGCTTCTACCTCTTCTTCAGCCATTAGTAGTGTTGAAATTTGCCTCCCATAAGGTTGATGTCATCTTCTTTATTGTAATTAGACTACATTGAGAAGGCTTATGATCATTCACCAAAGCGATGAAATGAGGAATAGAAGATGACTCAGGCATTTTAAGATTGTTTGCAAAGTGTGACTTCTCAAATCTGTGTTGAGCCTAAATTCTCAACTTCTTCTCTGTATAACTGTTTTTAATGGCTTGGGTTTTTGGTTCCATGCCATTGGTCTCCATTGAAGCCTGCTCAGAGAACAGCCCAGGGAAACTCACCTCTGTGCGTGCCAGGAGGAGACCCCCCACGTGAAAAATCAATATCCCATCTGGACTTTACAACAAGAATTCTGTACTTCTTCTGAACCGCTACTTTGTGAAACATAGACCCAGCCAAATATTCCCACTTGAAAAGTCAAGCCAGACAGTGGCTTACTCATAAGAGATGTGTAAAATGCGTATCCAAGGCCAGGCCATAGCAGAACTCAGGGCAGTGACATTCGCAGTGTAATCCTTGTGAACAGTGCCCTGCAAATGTGCATTCCGAACACTTTGCTGTGCAGCCTTGCTCTTGATTCCTCCACTGTTCTTCCTTTATCGATTTCTTCTCTATTTTTATAATGTTTTTCTTTTACTGTATGTTCTTATAAGGTGATCTTTAGTGGAATAAGATCTATCATAAATTATGCAGAAGCAATGCAAGAATGCATGTATGAATTCAGATTCTTAAAAAGAAAATACCATGAGAAAACTCAGGATCATTTGTTTATGATTTGTTAGTAGTTGCAGAAATATGAGGCATAGGGCTAAGGTGGGAAGGGGAAAATATAAGTAAATAAAAATAACTCATTGTTCTATTAACAAGTAAAAAAAAGATCTATCATAAATTAATATAAGTGAAAGACACAAACCTTTATGTGTTCATGCTGTTGATATCTTTATATCCATTCATGATGCCCAGTGTTGATCTTTATTCCTGTAAGTGGTTTTGTTTTAGCTCAAGTATACTGGTGTTTGATAAGCTGGATTTTTATAAAATTACAATATGGTAGATGAGCTCCTGTGAAATGAGAGTCCAATATAGCCATAAACATATGGCTTACACTGTGCAATGTTCTTTTTTTTTTTTCCTTTCCCAGGGAGTTTTGAAGACGTATACAAGAACATATGCCCTGTCCTAGTCCTCCCTGCCAGATTTTTCCCCCCCTAAATTGTGGTTTGAGATTTTAGGTCATTAATGGGACACATCTGTCTTTTTTTTTTTTTTCTCAAAAAGAAACTTTGAAGTCAGCAACCTAAAAAACTTTAGTTCATCGCTTTTAGTTTTCCTGAACATATTTGGTGTCTTCCATCCTTAAAATCAAGCAGGAAACCTCCATGCTCTATGCAATCATTCTTGTTAGTGGCCATGCATCCCCTGTGTGGGGGTGACCATAAATAATTCATTTTCCTCTTTGCTTCCTCAACATATATTCCTAAGTAATTCTACTAAACTGTAGAGAAGAAGGACCTTACAGATAAGACTCAGAGGGTTCACTTCTACATCGTACCTTGGTTACTAATGTGTTACCTAACGATACATCCTCACAGTTTCCTTTTGTGAATTAATAATAATAATAATATAATGCCTCTGTACCTCACAGGATAATTGTGAATTTTGGATGAGATAATGTGTATGAAAGAGTTTTGGAGACTCTAAGAGCTGTTAGAACTGCATTTCCCTGTTTGGGATGAAATGAGATCACCATACCCGATAGCAAAAAATCACCAGTTATTTTAGCTCAGATACTGTCTCCACTCTGCAAGAATTTTAGCTCTTTCAAATTCTCCTGAACCAGTTCTGGGAGTCCTTGGGGGATGTGCTGAGAGGAGTGCTTGCACTTCTTGCTGGTATTCACTTCCCTCTCTGTTTAGCTACACGAGTTTACCCACGACTGCTCATGCTGCCAGTGCTTACTTACTGCTTGCTCAGCTTGAGTCCCTGATGCAACTAATGTCCTTACTTAAAGGACTTATATACCCTGGAACAGCAACTGCCGTTGATACTGGGTCTGGGTCACCTGCAAAATGCCCTTTTATGTTTCTTTTCACTGTCTCAGAGTGAAGAACTCTCCTGGTTAGCCCCTGGGGGGGGGGGGGGGTGAGGGTAGGACTGAGCATCAGTCAGGAGCACCATCGTCTTATCATCTAGACAATCAGCTGAGATGGAGATACTCCCCAAAGTTCTGCTCACAGGGTTTGTGCCCTTTGGATAAAGCTGCTACCGAGACCACAAGCCTGGGGAGCCAGAAATTACATAGCTCCAGCTCCTCTACAGTTGTGAATTCTAACCAGACCCTTGCTGTGATTGGTAGCTGGAATCAGGTTGCAGAAGGGAGAGGAAGGAAAGGTGACACCATGGTTAACAATTGGACAGCCTTCTCAGTCTCACGGTTGGAGATAGCAGGAAGCTGGCTACTTCAGAGAAAATGGAAGCTCTAGATCAGAGCAGGCCAAAAGTAGCCTGGGCAGATGATGAGTCTGTGCCTTCTTACCTAAGGTAATAGCTTTTAAGCAGCTCTCTTTGTAACTGTCAGCTGTAGTATTCAGCCATATTAAGCCGGAGATTTTCTGATTCGCATTAGGCTGCTGTGCTGGAACAGCTCCCTCTCCTCCCATGTTTGAACATGAAATAAACCAAT